TTCAAATCATAAATGCATTTTTTTTTTTTAAATCTGTACTTTCAGATAATACATTAATTAAATAAAAGGCCACCTTAGTGCACTCAAAGAGAGATATTTTCACTTTTAAAAAGTGCACTTTGTAATAATGCCAAATTAAAAGTTTTACTTTAAAGTGCATTTTAAATCATGTTTTAATAATCTTCAAAAAAGTCAGGCTTATTTTATACACTTGATGTGTTGACTAATATACTAAAGCACATGTAAAGATGATCATTTTAACTGTAGTGTGTTATTCAAAGGTAATATATTACTATATCTTTTTATTCATAATACTATATATTATTAATCATTACAAATGTGCAATTTTTGTTGTTGTTTCTATTGAAACCTGTATGTCATGCATACACATTTTCAATGAAAATGACATTAAAGTATATTTCAGTTTAACATAAACGCTTGTCAGTACATTCAGCAGCAGACTTCAGCCATATTTCAAACACAATAGACATAATTATGAATTTGCATATAAAGATACTTAAGTGGGTCAAAAAAGCAGTATTAAGTTAAACTAATTGCACCTATAACACATTTTCATTTCATTGTAAATAACATGCAATTAAGTGTCCAGAAACATTACATTCAATTCACACTTAAGTATATTCTTTTTTTCTGTAAAAAGAACTCTAGAGAGTATAATAAAGTGTACTTCTTTTACTAAAAGGCTTTCTATTTTTGACATTGCTTTTAAAGGGACAGTTCATCCAAGATTCAAATTCTGTCATCATTTACTCACCCTCATGACGTTCCAAACCTGTACGACTTTTTATTTCATCTGTGGAACCCAAAGGAACATATTTTGAAAATGTTCCAATGTTGTTTGGGACCCTACAGACTTTCAATAAACAGTTTTCGCAGAAGAAAGTAGGTCATACAGGTTTGGACCAACATTAGAGTGCGTATTTTGCAATGAACCATTTAAGACGGAAACAACCAACGTTTTTAATTAGGTCACAAAGGAAAAGGTACGTTCCAGTTTAGTCATGATGGGAAGGGCCCTCTGTTCCTTGTCCTTAATTTGCCATTGTGTCACCGTGGAAACCATATCAGTGGCGTATTGGCGTATCTTATCAGGCTATAGAGTCATGACGTTCCAAACCTGTATGACTTTTTATTTCATCTGCGGAACCCAAAGGAACATATTTTGAAAATGTTCCAATGTTGTTTGGGACCCTACAGACTTTCAATAAACAGTTTTCGCAGAAGAAAGTAGGTCATACAGGTTTGGACCAACATTAGAGTGCGTATTTTGCAATGAACCATTTAAGACGGAAACAACCAACGTTTTTAATTAGGTCACAAAGGAAAAGGTACGTTCCAGTTTAGTCATGATGGGAAGGGCCCTCTGTTCCTTGTCCTTAATTTGCCATTGTGTCACCGTGGAAACCATATCAGTGGCGTATTGGCGTATCTTATCAGGCTATAGAGCCCTTGCAGCAAGGTCCCTTTGTGTTTCTCATGAAGAAATAGCCACTATAGATTCCCACCAGGAGACCCAGGGCAGAGTCTACTTTACATTCTCTCTCTTTCTCCAGCCTTGTCTATCTCTCATCCTTCCCTCGCTTTTGCATGCGATCCGCTCTGTCTTTGAAAAAGCTCTCCAGAGTGAGGCGACAAGAGAGAAGGGTTTCACAGCTCTCTGTGATAAAGTGAAAAACACTGAGCTGAACCGTGGCTTCAGAGTTCTGCCGCCATCAATCTCACAAGAGAGAAGTAACGAGACAAAAAGAGACAGGGTGGGATATTTCACACCAAGAAGAAACAATAAAATGCATGTTTAAAAATGATTCTGTGAACTTTTTTGGGTTCTTGAGGTATAAATGATTCATTGCCGGATGCTCCTGGGACAATAAAAGATGATAGGGTTATTATCCTGGCAGATGGAACATGTCTGCAACGTGGTTATTATATTGCTCACGCTCATTTTACAGTAAGGGTCTTCGAAATGTCACTCTTCAGATTGTGGATTGTTTTATTTAGACATTTAGTGGGCTCAACTATAGTGAACATGCTTCTGTTTTCTAACTTAATACAAAAGTTTGCATTACAAATGATATCATCAGCATAACAATTTGACTCAAGCTGCATTAACTCCACGCGTTTATGTCAAACCCAGTAATTATGTTGATCTCAAATTGCATAATAGGGCAAAATATACAAAACTGGTCTCAAATGGGCTAAAGTGTATGTGTACATCATGTGTATAAATTAATTATTTCATTAATTATTATTAAATTACATCTTACAATTCTGTATTATTCTCTAGTTGTGCAATAAACAGAACTGCTTATATCGATTATTTCTTAACTACAAAAAAAAAAACCAAACAAACATCAGAAAACAACAGAACATGGATAACTTTGTTCCGTATCTACTACTAAAAGGTGCATATTAGTATCTTAGGATAACTGTATATATACAGCTTATACTCAATTTGGTGTATTGTAGTATTTTAAGCCATCAAACAAATTACAAAATTCACACAAAACCTGTAAAACTACACTGTTCTATGGGTCAGTGTACAAGCTGTTCTAAGATTTATCACTATATATATATATATATATATATATATATATTTAAATATACTCATAAAACCTTCAATAGTTACATTTTGACTTTAAGAATATGTAATAATGAAAAGAACTCCAAAGGATGTGTGAGGTTTTTTTTAATAAGAAAAGAACATAACAAACTTTAAGAACATACCATGAAACAATCAACCAAATAAAGCAATATATATATATATATATTTAAATATACTCATAAAACCTTCAATAGTTACATTTTGACTTTAAGAATATGTAATAATGAAAAGAACTCCAAAGGATGTGTGAGGTTTTTTTTAATAAGAAAAGAACATAACAAACTTTAAGAACATACCATGAAACAATCAACCAAATAAAGCAATATATATATATATATATATATTAAGACACTTATCTTCTAAGCCCAATGGCCAAAAAGCTGGGTTTAAATAAACGAAACAGTACAAGAACATAAATTCTGACCTGCTTTCTTACAAATTTCAAAAAGACTTGCAAGAAATTTGTAAATGACATGATGGCTTGAGACAAAGTTTTTATTATCAAAATGGCTTTTTGGGAGATTTTTAAATGACGAGATCTAACAAAAATACATCATGGCAAATTCAGTAGGGTCTGTATGATTTTCTGATAAAAAGGTAGTTACAAAGCATTGTTGTAACAAAACGATCTCACCCCTGCCCAGCAGTGAAGAACAGAGAGGTCACTAGTGCAAGTATTGTATGGAAATGGCCCTTATAGTGCATTGTCTGCTGATCTTACTGACAGCTTCAGCTGAACAGACCATGAGGCACACAGTGAAACATCTTCAACCTCTTTTTCATGAATGTTATTGCCAGTATTTCTAAAAAGGGAAGTCTGTAAAACAAATAGTTGGATTTACCACAGTTTTATCCGTCTTTGTCAAACTTTTATCTCTATTTATACTTAACACAAAACTCTTCAGAATATACAAAATGACTTCATGGCCAAGTGTAAAAAAAGTAATTTCTTCTGTTTCTCTATAGGGACAAGCATAATGATACACACTCTCCGTACACGTACACTGTATGTTAGTGCACTTCAACTGAACATGCGTTATGCTGTAACACAAAACAGGAGAGTTTCCCTGTAACACAGTAACACCTGCTCACAGCAGTAACCTGAACTCAAACGCTTCCGCAATCACGCTCACGTCCTCTTCTTATCACATTGTTAACGTAACTTCACAACACAAAAATTATGCGAGATATATTAAATTCTTCCCTTCATAAATAAATGCCTGACCCCTGCTTCCCCAAAACAGTATATACACGTGGCATCATTTGTATACATCTTCTGTGTTACATCCGAAACCAGAACGTTTAGTTCCTGTATATATGTTAATTAAATTCGTTTCTGGAAATAAAAAACATCGGAACTCATTCCTTGGTTCTGGCAAAAGCACTTTTCTCAGCACACTCTTAAAAATAAAGGTTATTTATTGCCATGGATCCATGAAGAACCTTTATCATCCATGGAAACCTTCAAGATTCGTCACACTGAGCACTTCAAGAACTGTTCACTGAAAGGTTCTTTGAGCAGCCAAAAATGGTTCTTCTGTGGCATCACTGTGAAAACCCCCTTTATTTTTAAGAGTGCAGGAACCGGTGCTTAGTTATCAATGGCAAAGCTAGCTCTGTGTTGAAGATGTAAGAGTCCTGCCATTGAGAGTCTGTAGAGTTCAAATGGCTTGTAAACACATTAGGAGGCATTGAGGACAGACCTGCTGTAGAGGGTCTGGTAGTAGGCACCAGAGTCAATGGCGGACGGACCTGCGCTGTCATAGATCTGTTTGGTGGCCACCGGGGAAGTTGTGGTGTAGCTGTTGTAAGCCATCACCTGGTCCTGGTACGACTTGAGGTCCATCTTCTGCTCGTTGGACATGAGGTTGGTGATGGAGAATGGATGGTTGAAGTTGTAGTGGGGGTCCATGGACTTCAGTGGGTCGTTCTGCAGATCCAGGTGCTGCATCGGGCTGGCCAACAGGTGAGGGCTGCCGCCCATTCCCTGAGAGTGCAGGTGCGAGCCGGACAGGGGCATGGAGGAGGACACCGATGACGGGATTGGCACTGGCGAGCTGTGCGAAAGGCTGGGGGCTTGAGACGGGCAATCCAGCAGCACCAGGCTCCTCTGTTGCTCCTCCGAGGCATGGGAGCTGTCGGAATGGGCAGAGTCGGCACCTTCGGAGCCGGTGGCGGGACTGTGCTCCTCTTCAATCCCCTCACCGCTGTGGCCGCCCTTGGCGCTGCTGCCGCCCTCCTGAGACTTCGCCGAGCTCTTTTTGCCAGATTTCTCCTCGAGCTTGAAGCGCTTCTGGCGACGCAGGTAGCAGCCGTTCTCGAACATGTTCCCAGAATTGGGATGGAGCGCCCAGTAGGAGCCCTTGCCGGGCTTGTCGGGGGAACGCGCCACTTTGATGAAGCAATCGTTGAAGGACAGAGAGTGGCGGATGGAGTTCTGCCAGCGCTGCTGGTTCTCGCGGTAATATGGGAACAGATCCATGATCCACTGGTAGACTTCGTTGAGCGTCAGCATCTTGCTGTTGGACTGCTGGATGGCCATCGTGATGAGGGATATGTAGGAGTACGGTGGCTTGGCGTGGGTCAGCGAGCGACGGTAAGGCTTGGGCATCTCCTTAGTCCGGTCGAGAGAGGTAGGAGAGGAGTAGCTGATCTGGGACATTGGTTGACCCATGCTTTGGTAATGCGAGAGGGGACCCAGTGAGGAGGCAGAAGAGCCCAGCTGAGTCAGAGGACTGTGGTTCAGAGAGGAGCCGACAGTGGACAGGCTCATGTGGTTGGGGCCTCCACCCATGCTGCTCAATGGGCTGCTGTTGAGACCTGCGCTGGGATAGCCCATATTCATGCTGGATGTGGAACAGGCCGAGTTCAGATTTATGTAGCTGTTCAAGCTGCTCACTGAGTTCATGGCGCTCGGAGAGGAGTACATCTAAAAGGGAAAAACCACAGGACATTAATGTTTGTCATCAACTCAAAAGCAAAATCTTATCATTTATAAACAGACAAAATTATAATATAAGGTATTTCACCTTGGCTTCTATATTATAAAGTTTATGCCAAACTACAATGCATTCTAACTATACTGTATAATATATATATACAGTATAGTTCGTTTTACATATAAAACTCATTATTAGTTAAACTGACATCATGGATCGATGTTTTTAAAACTCCTCAGATTAATAAAAATGAATATCAAAAATAGAATTAAACAAATAAAAAATAACAATAATTCCAATCTCACGCAGTGTTTGCGGTCACAAAGTAGCTGTGCGCAGAAATAACAGTAAATGCAAACGCGCAAATGCAGAATGGAGAAGAAAATTAGAAGTTAGAATTCCAAAAGAAAGCTTTCTGTTGGATCTACTGAAATGTAAAATTGGTACACAAGACTGTAACGTGAAATTAAAATCGAAATGTAATCGAAAACTAAATGTCGACCCTTAAATATAATAAATTAATAAAGTAAGATTAACATGCAAGTATTACAATACATAATTTTTATCGTACAAACATTTATATGTAATATTTAAATGTTACTTCGCATTTAATTTTATCTATCTATCTATCTATCTATCTAAGAACATATATAGGTTATATATATTATTATCTAAACAAAATAATATTGAAGACTTTCTCGAACTTACCTCACTTGCCTCACTGTAGAAAGCATTCCATTCCGGAATTTCATGAGATTCCATCTTCACGGAGCTCAACATCCCCAAATAAAGTTGTAACTCGTGAGAAACGCGATATTGACAGGAGACTAAACTTATATTAAAATGCCCGTGTTTTTTTTTTTTAGAGGTTTTCTTAAAAAAGCAACGTCCCACGAGACGACACACTTTGTAGTTCCACGTAATTTTACAGCATGAACTGTAATAAAAAAAAGTTTTAAAAAGTGAAGCTCTTCTGTTGTCTTCAGTCCCGTGGATCAATGAGTTGTTTTCTCATGATTAGTTAACTTGGTTCACTCAGTTATTTTTTTTTTTGCTTGGCAGGACCCGTAAACATTTTCAAGTAATCCTGAGAAGTCCAAAGTGGGGCTGTCGTGGAGACGGCGTCAGGTCTCTGTGGTGAGTAATGCAGGAAAGCCTCACCTCAGGCTTTAAACAGGCGCAGGTGAGGGACCGCCCAACAGGCCCCGGGACTCAGGAAGACGTCCCTAAAGGTCTCCCCTGCCCCCTGCTGTTCTGTATATTGGCCGGCCGACGTGTCCATCTCAATTGTCATCCCAGACATCTTCAGGCCTATAATGAAAATGAATGGAATTTAACGAAATGGAGAAGGGCCTCTGCTGTAACTTACAGAAGGACGGGAGCCTTTCTTTACACAGATAAATCAGGCTGCTCTGTGCCTACTCAAAATTCTTGTAAAAATGCAAAACCGCATAAAAGCCAGATTAAATGATACCTGCTCTGTCCCACCTCAGCCCCTATATTATCAAGCTCCATAAAGTTGCATTTGCTGTGTAAATGCGTTTGTGCCACCTATTCAGAAGTGCTTCTGTGCTAAATTTGCCGTTATATAGGCTATATAGCCTAAATAGACGTCTGTTAGTCTAGAGATAGATAGATAGATAGATAGATAGACAGATAGATAGATAGATAGATAGATAGATAGACAGATATATATGGTGTGTGAAGTTATTTGGCTTTATTCTCAAATAGGGTTTTTTCATGACCGATGACGTGATTTGTCGTCATCAGTCAATCATTTAATGCTTCTTCTGTCATCAGTGATGTGTTCAGGGTGGTATGAGCTCATCAGGGCTTAAACTCATCACGGCAGGGGTCCCCATCAGTAATCTGAGGTGCCAGTTTTAAAAGTTGTTAAATCCCCTCGGCTATCACTTTCACGTCGGTCACAGTGAGCGACAGGACGGTGATTAATTCTCGAGATATAAAAAGATGATCTCATGCCGTCTTTTCTCAAACCTGAGTGTATGTGCGTTGAACAACTAAAAAGCAAAATACAACAGAATCGAAATACACCGATTTGATTGCTAAACAGAATATGATTCGAATATGAAGCGACAAAACTGCCTGTCCGAATATTTAATTTTCGTTTTAATTTAATAGCCTACACTCTAAAAAATGCTGGGTTGTTTCAACCCAACTTTGGGTCAAATATGGACTAACCCAACTTTTGGGTTAAACATTTAATGTAAAAATGTAACCCAACGGATGGGTTAGTCCATATTTGACCCAAAGTTGGGTTGAAACAACCTTCTCTTATTTAGTTTCAACCCAATTTTGGGTCAAATATGGACTAACCCAACTGTTGGGTTAAATTTTGGTTACATTTTTAAATTAACTTTTTAACCCAACAGTTGGGTTAGTCCATATTTGACCCAAAGTTGGGTTGAAACAACCCAGCATTTTTTAGAGTGTATATTTTCTTCTTATTTTGTTTCAAACAAACCGCCATTAGGCTATTTGCGAGTTTATAGGCTAGTGGACAAACGTTGCACATTTTTCAAGCGCGGATTCGAATTTTGAAGACTTTTCCCCTCACAAAATATCAACAAACCTTTCTTGGCTTGAAATGACCCGTGAAGAAGCAGCAACAGCGATGCGCGACTGTAGTAGGCTATGTGAATACACATCTGTTGTTAGGCGCAGACAGGAACATCACAATATCAATGCATTTCCTAATGGCTAATGAATGGAGATGTAATTGATCAATTGGCGGGGGGTCGACAGGATTAGGAGAGACCTGACCCCCACGATGCAACTTCATGGGATGTTCCCACAACCCTTGTGGCACCAAATGTCTATCTAAAAGAGCTAGCCTATAACTAGAATTATTCACAGAATTCCTTCAATTCTTGATTAGCCAGTTGCTTTTCATTTTTTGATAGCCCGCATCAGATCAGAATGTTTGCGACTGGATTTTTCCACCGCATATGTTCCTAATTGGGGTGCACGATCAAAATGAAAATAGCCTACAAAAAGATGTCTTGCGAACTTGCAAACGTGTCTATCTAGTGTTCGGCACGCTTTTCTTCTCAGTAATCCCTGCGAACACACATCTGAACATCCTCCTGCTGTCCCAGCGCTTCTCATGCCAATACAGCGGCGCATCGTTCATTAACACCTCTATAATTGGATAACAATAGTCTTAATGGGTGGCGCTAATGGAGGAAGCAGAATATTAGAAACGTGTCTTAAGGCTTTTACAGGCCGTCAAACAGCAGTGAGTCATTAATGATAGTCCAAAACACGGAGAATTCCCATTGAAGCCTTCGAATAACATGCAGAGCTCAGGCAGGCAGGAAGTGTGAAAATCTGTTCAAATAAATACAAGAACAATATCAATATGATAGCCTATGTATTCAGGCTATTGTCATTTAATAATATCGTAATATTAGCCTAATAAAATAGTAGGCTACATAATAGCGCTATAATAGGCCTATATTGTAATATTAATAATTATTATTCTTTCATGTTTGTTTATGCTGGCTATTTATTCATTTATTGTTGAAGCCAATGAATTACGTTCCACATCTGACCAATGATGACCAATAATTATGCTTAGAACATATAGCCTATGTTCGATAATTCTACAGGAAAGTGTATCTGTAGGTTTACACACAAAGTTCTTTGTGGGTTGTACAGGTTCCAAAATGCACGACTATGTTAGAAATGTTAGTTGTTATAAATCTAAAACTATTGCCCCTATTCTGTCGTTGGTATTTTTGGAAAAACATCAACTTGTAGACTAAATTCTGTCATGTTCCATGAGGTGTAGTGATATTCATGTCATTTATTGAACATTACTTTTTGTTTATGTAATTCCACCGCTTACCAATTTGTGTTTACTAAATCAAGTCTCTTTCTGTTGCAATATGTTGGGAGAATATTTCCATCTGCTGGACAAAGTTTAACATTACAGCAAAGAGAGACATGCAAATCCCAGAGAGAAACCAACGAGATTTTCTTCAAGCGTGGGTATTTTAGTATTACTAGTTTTGTTTTGCGTTTTATTTGAATTGTTGTTAAAGTTTTAGTAATTTTATTGTGTGTATTTTGCTGTTTGTTTAATGTTAAACTAAATGAAAATGAGAACCTTTTCTTTGGTGACTAACTGAAATAATGTCATATTTATAATATTAAAATCATATTAATCATAATTTATTTTAATATATTTTATTTCAATAAACATTTTTTTTTTTAGTTAACTAAATTATAGCCCTGCCATTCTGACATTACATTGCAGTAGGCCACAGATGTGATAAAATCATTTGGTTTTACTGCTAACAAACATCATATGTATGACAACACTGTAAATAAATCTATACTCTGTTGTATGAAATCAGGCCCTTTCCCCACACAAACACAGCAGATAAGCAGTGGCTTAAATAGCAAACATGCTCTAACCTTGAACAGTTCTGAGTCTCCAGTACATATAAAAACAACCCGGTGAGGTTTACACAATCACATTTTCATAATGATCTATTCAAAGTCCACTACACTGCACTGCTTAGTTACCCAAGCCAAATATACTGTAAAAACGTTTTGCCAGCTAAAAGTGTAATTCAACATTTTTTTTCCAAGTCAAAGAAAGCATTGCCAGTAAACCTGACTACACTGAGTTACACAATGAAAATCATTTGAAGGATTAGATCAGCTAATTCAGTGAACAATGTGTTCACTTTTATGAGTGCAAAATAAAAACAAGGCAGAGATTTAATCTATAATAAATAAACTCACACGGAACAATATCATTTGTTTAAATTGATCTAAGGTCCCACTGCAAGAAGACATATTCAGATGATTAAAAACAACTATACACTATACTGAATAGCACATATAATCAGAAAAGCAAAAACCAATTTCAGGGTTAACATTTAGCATTTCTGCAGACTTTTGCCAACATTTGTCTCACTAAAATGAATGAAGATTTAAAAAGAACACAGCAATAGCCTCTGAGGGTTTGTGAAAAGTCAAATTTCATTTAAATACAATTCAAGCTGTAACATAAATGCCGATTAAACAAAGGTTTTACAGAACAGTACTTGTGCATTTATATATTTAGTCATATATTTTCTAATGTCATAAAACAAGACTGAAGACGTCAAAACAATATGGAGAACCAAACCTACAGTGGCCCCAAAAGTATCTGGAAGTGTCCAAATAGGCTTGGGGCCGCTGTATAACATGTCTACTAATAGATGCTGGCTCTTTCAAATCTTTGACATGAAAACAACTGTCATAAAGTATGCCTCTGATATGTAAAAATGGAAGGAAAACAATCTGGACCATATACTTGTAAAAAGTGGATCTGTTGTCAAAATATTAAACTAGTCATCGCCTCCAAGGATTTAAAAGCCAATGGGTTACAATAGAAAATATAGTGATCTGCTTACTTGTAATAAAAATCTATTGTGTGCCTATAGTTTTAAATATACGTTCCCAATGTAAAACATTCCCCACATCTGTCCTTGTTATCTGACGAAAGCCACAAAACCATTTTATCACAAAAATATATGTTATAGCATCATATGATACGACAATATTCAGCATGTCTATCTTTGGTTTTCTATTCATTCAAAGACTTAGTGGTACATAAAGCAACATAGTATCAAATCTAGAGATTGCACATCTATAACCATTGAAAGGGATAATTCTTGTACAATCTACACGGAGTAAAAAACATAGATAACTAATATACATGCTGTATCAAGAAGCAATCTGAAGGAAGGGCTTTTAGCACTTAGTAATAATATTCCCGGACTATTTAACAGTTTTATGCAGCATAGACGACAGCAAAAACAAGAGAGGGCCTGTAGTTGGTGCAGTTCTGTGATTGTAAAGGACGCTGCGCTTCCAAACAAGCTTCCCGCTGTACAATCTGCATCTGTCTGGTGGTTTGAAGCACATTCTGGGAAATCACCCCACCGGATCATTGAAATGTGTGTGTTTTTCCCCACTTTCCTCATAGTCAATACAACAGGGTAGGTGAACCTGGTTTTGGTTTGCAGACTGAAAGTTCTTAAAGCGCTGCAGAAGAATCGACGCGGGCCAACAAATCTGAAATAAGTGCTGGAGGGTTATTATTTATAT